GTGTGTGTGTGTGTGTGTGTGAGAAACTTGTTTTTGATATCCTTCATATTCTGTGTGCGGGTCCGTTCACAGCAGTGATAGAAATGAATCTGTTCCAATAAGTTTAAATTGATTTTGACATTTTATGGGAATTTTTACCTTTATAAAGCCTTTTTTTCTAAAAGTGTGCATCATCATGTGTGTCAAATTCTTACATTTAATCAGTCAATTAGGATAAAAGACATTTGGGCTGTTACCAAACAAATGATATCAGTATCAAAATTAATCTTTGCAATGCAGAGGAAACACAGAAGCTGCATGGGATGAATTTCCCACACAGAGGGACATGAATGCATTTAACCTGCAGTTACAAATGCATAAATAATATTTTGTTATTTTAAACATAAAACATTGAATACTGATATTTAAAATTATTTTAAAAACGAAAAGATACTTTAAATGTGAAATTAAAACTGCCAGCAGGTGGCAGCTAGTCACTGTTAAGAAGTGAGTCATTGCGATTGAACCGAATCATTTAAACGGTTGATTCATTCAGGAACGAAACACCTTCATGTTGCACAGCGATGCAAAACAGCACTGTGGCTGTGTTTGGAATTTTTTTGTTGGCAAAATAAAGCAGAAACAGGCAATATAGTGTCTAAAACGTAAGTCTCATAATATTACCTTCTTGTTTACTGAACTGTTGAATAAAATCACATTTGTAATCATGCTGATTTTAGAGGTGAAATCTGGCACTCTTTGTGTGATATTGACTAACTTTCTTTCTGTGGTATTTTTATGCAAAATGGCGTTTAGTCTTTCACAAAACATAGCTAACGTAGGGACATTATAACTAGCCACCAAATTGATTTAAGGTCTTAAATATGTCCAGTGCTTTTTTTTTTAAGTCTGATCCCTGTTTTTATACAGTCTATGGTCTGGTCCAGCGTTTATGGGGTTGTGTGTCAGTAATAATGGTCCGTGGGGAAACACGGTGTTCCTTGTGTAGCTACAGTAAATGGACTAAATGAAGACTCGAGGCGATGATTTTTAGTATTCGAGTTACTCGAGGTATTCAAGGAATCGTTTCAGCCCTAATCTAAATCCTTTATTTACTTGTGAACTCTCATTTTTCATATTTTATCATATTATTAAATAATACTTTTTAAGAATAACTTACTCTTGCTTTGAACAAAACTGAAAATCTTTAATAGAACAAAACCAACCCATATTTAAATATCTTATTTTAACAAAACTGACTGATATTTAAATCTCTTAATAGAAAAAAAACAACCAAAATTTAAACATGTTAATTTAACAAAACCAATCAACATTGAAGCATCTAAAGAGTTATTTTTATAGATGGTCATGCGTAATATTGGTGTGCTGTTGTGTTGATTGGCAGCGGCTCCGTACTGGATCAGCGCTCCCAGGAATCTGGTTCTGGCTCCGAAGGAGATGGGCATCATCATGTGCCGGGCCGCAGGACACCCCAAACCCAGCATCCGCTGGCTCATGAACGGACTCCCGATCGAGAGTCAGTGACTTCAGTCTCTGTGTGTGTGTGTGTGTGTGTGTGTGTGTGTGTGTGTGTGAGCTGAGAGTGTGTGTGACGTTGTGTTGTTGTGTTGTTTGTGACAGACGCTCCCAAAGACCCCAGCAGGAGTGTGGAAGGAGACACCCTCATATTCTCCGAGGTCCAGATGGGCTCCAGCGCCGTTTACCAGAGTAACGCCTCCAACCAAGGTTCTGGCTCCGAAGGAGATGGGCATCATCATGTGCCGGGCCGCAGGAACCCAGCAACCCAGCATCCGCTGGCTCATGAACGGACTCCCGATCGAGAGTCAGTGACTTCAGTCTCTGTGTGTGTGTGTGTGTGTGTGTGTGAGCTGAGAGTGTGTGTGACGTGTTGTTGTGTTGTTTGTGACAGACGCTCCCAAAGACCCCAGCAGGAGTGTGGAAGGAGACACCCTCATATTCTCCGAGGTCCAGACGGGCTCCAGCGCCGTTTACCAGTGTAACGCCTCCAACCAATACGGATACTTACTGTCCAACGCATTCGTCAGCGTACTGGGTGAGAGAATCAGAAATAAACACGTCTGTTCACAGGAGAATCATGCTTCATCCCAAAGACGGACAAAAACATGACTTTATATTAGAAATAAAACCTGAAGTGTTTAGCACCGTTGAGGTTTGCTGCATTCTGACACTATTTTCATGACAACGAAGCACTTAAACGCCACTCCTAAAACATTTATCAATCATGTTTTCATTATTCTAGTGGAAGTGATGGTCATGTGATGTTGTTTGTGTTCCAGCGGAGCCGCCCAGAGTCCTGACGCCGCCTAATATAGTCTATCAGGTCATTATGAACAAACCCATGCTGCTGGAGTGTGTGACGTTCGGCTCGCCCGTCCCGACCATCACATGGTGAGACCCTGTGTGTGTGTGTGTGTGTGACTGAACACAGGCCCGTTTACTGTCACTGTTTACTGGAGCTTTTCATTTTAATTGGGCCTGATTCTGCTGCAGTGCATTGTGGGCCCTCTCTCATGATTTAGTTTGGCTGTGGAAATAGTGTACAGCAAATTGCATGCCAATTGTTTTCGGTCTATCCATGTATAAACCACAGTGCATGATGGGATTGTGTTCACCAGGTTTAAGGACAGCCGCTCCAGCATGTTGGAGGGAAATGCTTATGTCTTCCATGAGAACGGAACATTGGAGATCCACATGTCTCAGCCCTCAAACAGCGGGAAATACACCTGTGTGGCCAGGAATAACCTTGGCATCTCGGAGAACCACGTCTACCTGGAGGTCAAAGGTGAGGGATTCAGCACAGAGCCCCTTCATCACTGTTCAGTCCTCTAAATCAGGGCTTTTTAAACTGGAACTGTGAAAAAAAGAAGAAAAAAAAGTTTAGAGTAAACAGAGTAAAAATAAATAATCAAAACAGTGATTTAAATAAATGAAAATGGATTTGAATAAATAAATATATTTGTCTAAATTATTTAAATCAACAAATAATAAAAATAAATTAATGAATAAATATATATATATTTTTAAAAATTTAATTAATTAATTAATTAATTATTATTATTTAAAAATATTTAAATAAATGATAAAAAATATTATTAAACAAACTAACTAAAAAGAATAAAATAAATAATAAAAAAATATTATTTAAATAATATATATTTTTAAAATGATCATTTATTTAAAACAATTATTTAAATAAATAAATAAATAAAACTGATATAAATAAATACATTTGTTCAATATGAGTGTAAATTAAAATGATATAAATAATAGAATTATGTTACAAACAAACAAATAAATGAATGAATAAATGAAGTAACAACATAAACTAAAGTTTTACACAATTATTTTGCACAGTATAAATTATGTTTTTTACTTGAAAATATATAGCAGCCTTTTAAATGTTAGGCTAGTGGATAATTATATTTGGGGGTCCATGGCATCTTAAAGATGAAAACCTCTGCATGATAAAAAATATTATTAAACAAACTAACTAAAAATAATAAAATAAATAATAAAAAAATATTATTTAAATAATATATATTTTTAAAATGATCATTTATTTAAAACAATTATTTAAATAAATAAATAAATAAAACTGATATAAATAAATACATTTGTTCAATATGAGTGTAAATTAAAATGATATAAATAATAGAATTATGTTACAAACAAACAAATAAATGAATGAATAAATGAAGTAACAACATAAACTAAAGTTTTACACAATTATTTTGCACAGTATAAATTGTTTTTTACTTGAAAATATATAGCAGCCTTTTAAATGTTAGGCTAGTGGATAATTATATTTGGGGGTCCATGGCATCTTAAAGATGAAAACCTCTGGTGTAAATAATTCTGTCTAACCAAGAGAAAGTATTTTGAGTTGAGAGTGTTTCAGTGTGTGCTCATGCTGCACTTTTTAAACGAACAGGCATATATATTGGTCTTAATGGCTCCGTTATCCCATCATGCATTGTGTTTGGAGGCTCCAGGCCTTAGCTTGCATGTTTTTCACTTTTCAAACGGCACTTAAGTGCATCTCTAAAGAGCACAACAGGAAGTGTGCTGTATTAAGAGCATTAGGAAACGATCCATCGGTGGATCATCAGACCTGATGAGAGACGGAAACTCACGATGAGCTGCACAAACGCGCTGCTTTGTGTGACATTATCAGGGTCCAGGATTACAGAGGCTTTCTCATCCGTAGTGTCTCTCCCTTCAGAGCCCACGAGGATCCTGAGGCCGCCGGAGTACCGGGAGGTCCAGAGGAACCGGGACGTGGTGTTCGAGTGTAAAGCCAAGCACGACCCGTCCCTCGTGCCCACCATGACCTGGCTGAAGGATGATGGAGAGCTGCCTGATGATGAGAGGTTTGAGAATCACACAATCACCCACAGATGCCTGATCATTTCATCATCTGATGATGTTTTCATCTGTCCTCTCAGCTCACTTTAACACATCTCACCATGCTTAACCCTTGTGCTGGGTTCAAAATGTTCAACTGGTACAACTGTTATGTTCCGGGTGAAGATTACTGATCAATGCAATCCACCAAAAATTACACCATGAAAAACAAAAGTTTTCCAACAACAGTAGTATTCTAACTATTTTCTAATATTTGTTAGACATTTTAAACAGAACAAATGTGGAAAGGTGCTTCTTCTGTGTGTTTTCCTGAAGTAGTGCGTGGCACTCGCAACGCCAAGTTCACAGGTTCAATTCCCAGCTAACTGAACATGCGTGAACTGATAATAAATATGCTCATTCATTTTCAAGGATAACAGCATCTGTGAAATGCATAAATATACTAACATCAATTCATATATATATTTTTTATTTTATTTACTTTTATTTTTCTGTGCAGCTGCCTTTAACCATGAAATATCCGGGTCAAATCAACAAACATCACAATCATATTATTCATTTAATACACATATTCCACAACATATCAGAGGGTCGAAACTGTGCTGGGATGTTTATGAGTCAAAATGAGAGAAAGTCTGAACATTTCAAGAAAAACATACAAGGTTAACCAGCATTCCTTACAACTCAAAAATAAAACACAGCTGGACTCAAATGAAGGTGTAGAACCATCTCAAGGATGATCAGAAGAAATGGACAGCACCTGAGTTAAATATATGAGTGTCACAGCAAAGGGTCTGAATACTTAGGACCATGTGATATTTCAGCTTTTCTTTTTTAATAAATCTGCAAAAAGTCAATATGGGGTGCTGTGTGTACATTAATGAGGAAAAAAATGAACTTAAATGATTTTAGCAAATGGCTGCAATATAACAAAGAGTGAAAAATTTAAGGTGGTCTGAATACTTTCCGTACCCACTGTACATGGGTTAAAGCCATCTCATAGTATTTCCCTGAAATGAGCAATGACATTTATTTTATTTTTTTGTCTTTCAAACACTTTTAGGTGAGTAACAGTTTAAGCAGGTGATGTAGAAATGATGAGAATCACTGACAGGTTAAGTGTGCAGATTTTAATGTCATTAGCGTTCACAGGATCAGTTTGAGTCTCTGCTGATGAAGCAGATCTTTAGCTAATGTAATGTGGGAGCTGGTCTGAGGGTTTTGTGTCTGATAACAGGTTTAGAGTGGACTCGGACAGTCTGACTATCACAGATGTCACAGAGAGTGACGCGGGGATGTACACATGTATCATGAACACCACACTGGACCAGGACTCGGCCAGCGCTCAGCTCACGGTGGTCGGTGAGTACTGAAGGTTTTCCGCTCTTTGTGTGCTAACCAAGTAACTAGATCCAGTCCCTCTCCAGATTCATTCAGATACGAGGGATTTTATTGACAGAAAACCCAACTAACATGTTAATAATAACAATAAAAACAAGATTAAGCTAACTAAACGGATAAATAAAAATGTATTTAAATAAATAAATGTCAAAAATAATTTAAATAAGTAAATCTAAATTAATTAAAATAATTAATAAAAAACTGTTTTAAATAAATAAATAACAGTTGATTAAAATAAAAATAGAAAAACTTAAAAATAGTCAAGTCACCTTTATTTATATAGCACTTTTTTTTACTCAATTTTCAGTTAAAGGCAGTTCATCATTGAATTCAGTGATGTCATCATCCAGCTCAGTTCAGTTTAAATAGTGTCTGTGCACTATCTGTGCAATCAATAGAAATAGAAAAAAAACATAATACAAAACAAGATAAATAAAAAGGAAAAATAAATAATATAATGATTTGAATAAATAAATAAAAATTGGTTTAAGTAAATTAATATTTGTAAAATGAATTAATAAATAAATAAATAACCGTTTATTTAAACCAATAAATAAAAACAAAAACAATATTTTTAAATATTGACAGAAAATCCAACTAAAAAAACACAATTAAACTATATAAATAAATAAATAACAATTGATTAAATAAAACAATAAAAACAATGATTGAAATAAAAAAATAAACAGTTGATTGAAATCAATAACTAAATTATAAATAACATATAAAAATGTATAAATTAAAATAAAAATAAATAATTGAAAGCAAATAAACATCAACAGGAAAGTGCATTTTAGAATTATTTTAGCTGGAAGTGTGTAATTGTCTTTAAATTAACACATCTCTTCCTCACTCCTCTTACCCCTCCCACTCAGAGGCCCCGCCCACTCCCGCGGTGATCTACGGTAAACACACAGCACATCACATCCCATAATGCCCTGGGCTTGTGTGTGTGTGGTGAGGTTTATGGAGCATGCTGTCGTGTGGTCACATTGATCTGTCTTCTGATTTGGCTCTGGAATCGTTCTGTTGATTTCCACATGAAGGCGTCTGTAGAGTTTGCATGACTCCTCATTTGAATGTGCGTGTGCAGACGTGCGGCTGATGATGTCATCACGCAGCATGTCCTTGTCATGTGATCACAAGTTGATTCATGTTTGTGTTGACAAAAGCATGCTGTCATTAACAAAGCAAAGTGTAAATCCAGGACTCTGTTCTCTGAGATCAACAAGCTTGTCAAACCACCATCTCTACAGAAACTTCAGACATTTTTCTACATTAAATTTACAATATCTACCAGTTATTCTCTTCATTTGTTCCCCCAGAATTCTCTACTTCCCAGCTAGACTTTTTACTCGCTAATACATCTGAGTTTGAATAGCTGATAGTTAAATCAAACTCTGTAATTGTGTTTGATCCAATACCAACACACTTAGTCAAAAACCTTCTCTTTTTACCTATCATGCACACGATAAACAGATCCCTTGCTACTGGACTAAAAATAGCTGCTATAACCCCAGTGCTTGATAACACACTGTAACTGTAGACCCATCTCCAAGCTTCCCTTTCTGTCTAAAGTAATCGAAAAGGGACAGATTTGTCACATTTGGACAAACACAATCTGATAACCATTTGAGTCTGGTTTTCGTCCTCTCCACAGTACAGAGACTGCTCTTTCAAGAGTAGTGAATGACCTCTGACTCTGGTGCCCTCATCCTTTTGCTCCTCTGATCTGAGTGCAGCTTTTATTTAGTTTTTTTAGTGCAGCTTTTTTGTCTTTTTTTCTATCTCGAATATCTGCTATTGGTAGATCTCGCTCTGTCACTGTTTCCCATGGTGTACCTCAAGGTTCGGTTCTTGGTCCACTTCTGTTTCTAATCTATATGTTTCTTCTTGATCAGATCGTTCAGCCTCATGGTCTGAACATAGTTATGCTGATGATGCACAAATCTATCTTACTGTCCAGCCCAATTCTGTTTTTCCTCCCCTTCCCATCACTTCCTGCCTTCAAGATCTCAAAGCATGGATGGTTGAAAACTTCTTAAAACTGAACGCTGACAAAACAGAAATCCTTTTAATAGGCCCTAAATCCCTTATCTCCTCCCAAAATGACATCTCCATTCATATAATGATGGAGTTTCAGTTAATTCTTCACCCATTTTATTCCAAATTATACTTTGAACCTCATATCTGCCAGTTTGTTAAATCTTGGTTTTCTACCTTTGGAAAAGTGTCCATATATGTCCTTTGCAAAATCACAAAGATGCCAAAACTGTTATCCATGCTTTCCTCGCATCTGGACTATTGTATAGTAACAGTGTTAATTTTGACAGGCATTTTTGATTTAGTATTAGTCTTTATTTTGAGATGAAAATGCTTAATAGTCTTAAGCCCGGCTCACACTGTGCCATTTTGGCCACGATTTGGTCGTCTGAGACAAATTTTGAAAATCCTAAAAGATTCCTATCCACCTTTTTCTTCAACGCGGAAGTAAGCCTATGGGTGAGACTTCCGGTTCATTAGCTGCTATAGGTAAATAACGAGGAGAATAACAACGTGCAGTAAACGGTAAAACTGTTTGCACTACAAACCAGTGTGTTCATAATTAAGATAATACATTAAAATAATATGATAAGACACACCAACTTTCAATATCAAGCAGCAAAACGAACTGTTTTGCTCAGCTAAAAATAGCTGGACGGAGTGGATGCAGATGAGACCGGAAGCCAGACCCATATAATTTACAAATGGCCGCGCCCATATTTACGACAAGAAAAAGGTGGATAATCCTAGGCTAAAATCTGTAGTCTTTGATCGTTAGTTTGACATGTTCACCGACAGCTGATTAATGGCCATTGCGATCAAATTGACCCTCCGACAAACTTCTGGCAGTGTCAGAAGATTTGGCACACAGTCCTGCAGTCGACGTCATACTGTCTTCGTTTTTCATGACAAGCCATGATCAGAATTAATGCTAGAGATTTCTTCTAACCACATAAACTCCGACGCTCTCGTCCTCCTAGGGATGGGCGATATGGTCTTAAAAATATATCACGATAATTTCTGATATTTATGCGATTACGATATCAATGACGATAATTTAAGGAATCCTGTTTCTTTAGAGCAGTGGTCACCAAACTTTTTAGGCCCAAGATCCCTGACCTCGGCCTTTATGAAAGACAAGATCTACCTATTGAAGAATTGATAGAAAAAGACATCCCAGATTGTACTTCAAATTTGAGGCCTTTTACTTAGTATTTTAATTAGTGATGCGCCGATCATAGCTGATTCAGAAATCAGATTTTCTTTTCTTTCTTTCATTTTTTTAACTAGCACGATTTGGTCGTCTGAGACAAATTTTGAAAATCCTAAAAGATTCCTATCCACCTTTTTCTTCAACGCGGAAGTAAGCCTATGGGTGAGACTTCCGGTTCATTAGCTGCTATAGGTAAATAACGAGGAGAATAACAACGTGCAGTAAACGGTAAAACTGTTTGCACTACAAACCAGTGTGTTCATAATTAAGATAATACATTAAAATAATATGATAAGACACACCAACTTTCAATATCAAGCAGCAAAACGAACTGTTTTGCTCAGCTAAAAATAGCTGGACGGAGTGGATGCAGATGAGACCGGAAGCCAGACCCATATAATTTACAAATGGCCGCGCCCATATTTACGACAAGAAAAAGGTGGATAATCCTAGGCTAAAATCTGTAGTCTTTGATCGTTAGTTTGACATGTTCACCGACAGCTGATTAATGGCCATTGCGATCAAATTGACCCTCCGACAAACTTCTGGCAGTGTCAGAAGATTTGGCACACAGTCCTGCAGTCGACGTCATACTGTCTTCGTTTTTCATGACAAGCCATGATCAGAATTAATGCTAGAGATTTCTTCTAACCACATAAACTCCGACGCTCTCGTCCTCCTAGGGATGGGCGATATGGTCTTAAAAATATATCACGATAATTTCTGATATTTATGCGATTACGATATCAATGACGATAATTTAAGGAATCCTGTTTCTTTAGAGCAGTGGTCACCAAACTTTTTAGGCCCAAGATCCCTGACCTCGGCCTTTATGAAAGACAAGATCTACCTATTGAAGAATTGATAGAAAAAGACATCCCAGATTGTACTTCAAATTTGAGGCCTTTTACTTAGTATTTTAATTAGTGATGCGCCGATCATAGCTGATTCAGAAATCAGATTTTCTTTTCTTGCTTTCATTTTTTTAACTAGCAAATTGGATTCTGATACTGATTTTTAAGCAATTTTATTTATTGGCTATTTGCTTTATATCAAACAAACTGGCTTTAAACAAAAATATCTAGCCATTTGAAATGAGAGGCAACCACTGCCTTTTAATCATGATCTGCACGGGCAGTTGTTTTTGATTTGATTTAGATTAATTTCAGGATTTAAAACAAAAACAGAATGGTCTGACTTTAGGTGTTATTTATTTATTTGCTACATAAAACATCTGCACGAAACAAAAACCGCAGGTCTGAATGAGACGCACTCTCTGACAGCAGGTGGCGCCTATGAACAGGGTTGCCAGGTTTTCGCAATAAAACTAGTCCAATCGCGTTTCGAGGAGGGTTGCCCTATAAATATCGCATTCCGGGGGTAAAATACACGTTTTTCGGCAGGGGATCTTCAAGTAAAATTCACATTCCAGGGACTAAATATCACGTTATTGGGGTCGCTTCAACACGCGGACATGAACAACAACAACCTGCGGCAACAGTAGGCGCGTTTCCATTACAGATTTGCACAAAACTTTGGCAATATTTTATAAATGTCGATAAAAATGTATTGCGAAATGACGGCGTTTCCATTAACCAATGTTATGCGACTAAAACGTAACCTTTTGCCTCTCGCGATAAGTCATGGCAACGGATTTTGGCGGGATTTTGGCTATATTTATTCAAAGGAGGCTTTTGCGTGTATCTTTACAGAAGCAGCAAAGAGAGCCGCTTCAGAAACATGCATGGCACGGCTGTAATAAACCATAGCCTGTATAAAAATATAAACACAGGCACTGAGTGGCAGCAGTCAGATTCAGTGACCGTATCAGAGCCACACTGCACCGCAGACATGTGCTGTGTAAATTGTCTAAGCATTAATGGTAGGGAAAGCCCCTTATACTGGAGCGCGGCCACTTATGAAGTGTTTCTTGGAGGTTATAGTACATTGAAGAATGATCATATGACTTTTTACATACGCCATGTGACCTGTAACTGCGAAAAAGCCGTTTCCATTGCAGTTTTGCGAATTATTCCTTTTTCGCATTGCCTGAAAAACCACTTCGTGCGAGCGTAAAAACTTTTTTGCAATATATGGGAGTTTTTGCGAAATTGACGCATTTCCATTAGGCGTATTTTCAATTCGCAGTTTCAGTTTGCGCAATTTGAAGGGTAATGGAAGCGCACCTAATAAGTAGCACAATTCCATGGGAAAACCGCGGGCTTGGCAACACTGTTTATGAACCGACCACAACTATAGATAGAAGGAGCTGCTCGATTTCACGTCCGCCTTCCTTCACGTCACTCCACACAGTCGTACACAGAAATATGTCAACAACTAGACTTCATCGCTATTATCGCGGGAAGACGAATTCTTATCATGTGGAGAATTTTTACCGGTATATCGCAAACGATAAGTTATCGCCCATCCCTACATCCTCCACTCACGGAATTCATCTGATATGTTGCCTTTGCTATGATAAACACAGGTTGTGCTGCTGTTTTCATGTGGGTGTGTACTGTGTAGTGCTGCTTGCACGTCATTACTTTTAGTCAAACTGCAGTTACCAACATTTATTTTGGTAGCTATTTTATATGTAGTCTTCAAACAAAAAGAGTCATTAATTCTTCTTTCTTTAGACCAAATCAATTAAGCTTATGAGAAATTTGAATCAAGGATTGAATTTGGAAAATCTTGAATAAATTATGACAATTTTCATTTTTGTGTGAACTATCCCTTTAACAGTAGTGAAAAGGGAGCAACTTATAAAAATTATAGTTGTTCATATATAATATATATAATTTATCATTTTTGAAACAGAAGCCGAATAAGACAAAGACAAATACAAAAGAGATACAAATTAAACTCATTTTTCAGATACAGTAGGTTTACTTAACATATTTATTTAACATCTTTTGTTGGTTAACATTAATGACACGGATAGGTACTTAATTAGGAGTGCTGTCCCTTTAAGACGGAAGGCATGCATGTTCAGTTTTCACCCACCTGTTTACATTTTTGATTAGCTTGTTCAGGTGTGTTTGATTAGGGTTGAAGCTAAACTCTGCAGGGCTGCGACGTTCGCCACCCCTGCTCTACACGATAGACATTTGGACTGCTGTGTGTGTGTATATTTGAGCGCTGAGAACTGATCGCGCGCTGTATATGAGAACTGAAGATGTGGAGCATGCGCGAGAAAGAGCACTTCTATCAGCGTGATTCCGCCTTAATCGGCAACAGATTTTGACTCCCGGGAAAAACGGGATGTCTGGTCACCTTATCCCTACCCCTTCGGGTGCTGAGGCCATTGTTTCAGATCGCTAGTTAGCATTTTGGTAGCCTATCCATCCACTGCGTCTGCCATACTGAGACTAGATATGCAAACGCCCCTTATCCGATTGCAATTCAATGACAGGGACGCACATTTTGTGGACAAGGACAAGACAGTAGCATATAGGATGTATTTTGAATTGTTCGATAGTCCTCAAATAACATTATAGTCCCGTCTCGTCTTGTTAACGAAGACACGGCATAAATTTCGTCATAGTTTTTGTCATCAGATATTAGTTTTAGCTCGTCAACGTCTTGTCTTAGTCACAGAAAAAATGTTTGTTAACGAATATTTTTCATCGTTGTCTTTGTTGACGAAATTAACACTGTACAGTAACTCTCTGTTTTGGCGCAGACCCACCAAAGCCCTTAATTGCTTGCAACTAGTTCAAAAATCTGCTGCTCGTGCCCTTACATTTAACAAGAAATCAGCTCACATCACTCCCATCCTTCAGCACTGCACTGGCTCCTATTCTGTCTTGTCCTAGTTTTTGAGCCTACCATTTAGCACCTTCATATTTTACAGAATGAATACACCCTTACGTTCCTGCCCGCACTCTTGGATCCAGTTCTGAGAATTTGCTTGAAATACCCAAGATCAAACTGTTGGTAGGGTGTTCAGCATTTCAGCTCCTAAACAGAAAATTTCTGCGCTGTCTCCTCACTCCTGACCTTTAAGACTGAACTAAATACTCGCTTATTCACAATATGTTTTGATTGATTATTTCTTTTCACTGTCAGATCTATTCTTATCTCGGTTATTTCCTTGTGTGTTATATGATCACAGTCTTACTGCCTGTTCACTGTGTTGTTCCTTGATTGTATATCTGTATTATTTGTATTATATAAAGTGTCCTTGGGTTCTTGAAGGCACTATAGAAATAAGATGTATTATTAAACTTTTATTTACTAGTGTTGTTTGACTCTACAGAGCAGCCGGGAGCACCGACCGATCTGGAGCTAACGGATCCGGGAGCGAGAAGCATTCAGCTCACCTGGACACCTGGAGAGGAACACAACAGCCCTATCAAGAGTACGACACACACATAAACACACCTGTGTTCATCCTTTTACTGTAAAGCTCTTTGAATTACCTTTGTGTGTGAAGGGTGCTTCATAAATAAGCTTGCATTCTTGCCACGTCAGAGTTCCTGATCCAGTATGAGGACGCTCTCCACCAGAGCGGCGTGTGGCACAATCTGACGGAGGTTCCTGGAACCAAGACCACGGCTCATCTGAAGCTCTCTCCGTACGTCCACTACAGCTTCAGAGTGCTGGCGCTCAATGACGTGGGCTTCAGCCGTCCCAGCATGCCCTCGCACCAGTACAGGACCAGCCCCGCAGGTAAGGCACATGAGTGTTCATGCTCACACGTGTGTTCACACATATCCGCTCGTCTCTAACTCGCCTCTAATGCCTGCAGCTCCTGACGAGAACCCCACTGAGGTCAAAGGTCACGGCACCGAACACAATAATCTGGTCATCACGTGGAAGGTGAGATTCTGATTATTAAAGTGCCCCTATTATGGGTAATGAAAGGTTCATATTTTGGTTTTGGGAGTCCCCAACAACAGGTTGACATGCATGCAAGGTCAAAAAACACATTCATTGACTTATAATATGCATTTATTTTTACCTTACTTGCTCAACGACTCCCAAACGATTCGCTCAATGATTCATTTTTCCAAACCCTTCCTTTGCGTGACGCTAATCTGCGGTGATTGGTCTGATTGGTCTCATTTTCAGTTCATCATGCCTGTAATGCCTGATAAAGCAGCATTTGTGAGCACAGTGCTGCTTCAGTGTACAGCGTTACCGGGGAAACTGCTATTTTTACTGCTCTAAAAGCGGCACCTAGTGGCAAAGAATGAATTTGCAGTGTTTACCATACATTGATTTATTTGTGGCGGCCCTCCACAATATCCACATTGACTGCCACAAATATCCACCGCACCCCTGCCATCAGCTTCCGTGTCTCACACACACGAGTGTGACTTTAGCACTATATTTTGCAAATTTCAGACCCTTTTAGCAACCAGTTCCATAAAAGGTACATACTGACAAACATAGCAGCATTTTTGGATAAACCTTAGCTATCGTTCAGCTGGAAGATTTCGTCAGTACTGCCCCGCAAGCATGAACTTTTTTTCCTGGCACTGTATCGCCTCTCTCTGTGTCTGTTCTGTGCAGTGAGCCGCAGCAGAGAAGCAGCGCATTAAGTTGGCTGTACTGCAGCCGACTCGTCAATAAATGGGTATAAAGCAGTGTTTCCAAGCACCTGTCGCTTACGCTTTGGGCTTATAAATATGAACATATTTCGTCTGTTAATATGCACATAGTTAGACGCAGGCAGAGCGCTGCATGAGACAAAAAAGTAATATAGCCAAAACCACGGCAAATAGTCATTCTTTAGTGTAGATGTATGTTGATTTAATCAGACGATGTCGCGATCAGGATTTAAAGAGTAAAGTGAGAGCGACTCCTGGTTAACATGTAGTATTAATGGGTCGTGTTTAGTCACTGTTTATATTTGTTCTATGACAACAGAAAATATGTAAATTGGACCAGTTTTATTGGGCATTCAGTTGTATTACAGTATGTGACAGTTCAGAGAGTAGAAGAGATCTGAAGTGCCTTAACTTGTCTGAATGCAAACCCCACGTAATGACGTCATAAATATGCTAATTAATGTGACATCACCTACCGCCACAAGTCTCACAAAATTCTGTGGGAAACACTGATTTGCATTTTCATTCAGACCAATGCGAAAAGACCAACAAGTGGGTGGGCAATATGCTAATGTTTCATGTTGACATCAACATGAAACGGCTTGGGATTCATTTAAAAAAAGTCTCGTTTCAATGATTCAGAGTCGACTCTTTCTTTTGAGAGACAATAACTTTATACATGGTGCACTTTCATATTTAAAACTTTGCAGGATGTTTTCATTCACTTAGAGCTGTTACACATGGCATGAAAGGCAATTTTCAAAAATCCATAATAGGGGCACCTTAATAAACACCTCATATGAAGCTATTTATGATGTTAACCCATTATGGAGCTTATAATATGACAAAACTATTTGAATTTGTATTGTATACATTTGAATAATTGACAAGTTGCATTTATCAAAACTGAATATTATGTGGCATTTAACATAGCTCTGAATTAGATTTTTTTTTTTTACTTGAATATTGAACATTTGAAACTTAACACAACTGAGTTTTATAGACATATATTTTCAAACAGCGATTTTTTTTGTTTGTTCTGAATTCTTTGGCTGCAAATATCCAGTTTTTAAGGTGAAGAGGAAATTCGGAACATCAAATTCAATATTCTAAAATTCAATACGCAGAAATTCAGATCGTACTGAAAGTAGGTCAATCATATGTTTAAGAGTCACTTAGGATACCTCTGGGCGATTCATGATCAGGTACATCAACCTAATCTGAACGCCAGAAAACTACTAATTGGCCAAAATGCTTCGTTTGACTTTTCAGAGATCATCTGCTCTTCCCTGTGGATTACCTCTGACCTACTTTCTGTACGATCTGAATTTCTGCGTATTGAATTTTAGAATATTGAATTTGATGTTCCGAATTTCCTCTTCATCTTGAAAACTTGAAGCTTTATATTTAAAAACTGGATATTTGCAGTCAAAGAATTCAGAACAAAAAATTTGCTGTTTGAAAATACATGTCTATAAAACTCTGCTATAAAAAGTTCAGTTGTGTTAAGTTTCAAATGTTCAATATTCAAGTTTAAAAAAAATCTTAATTCAGAACTATGTTAAATGCCACATAACATTCAGTTTTGATATATGCCACTTGTCAATAATTCAAATTTATACAATACAAATTCAAATAGTTTTGTCATATTATAAGCTCCATAACCCATGATGTTCGTTTAGAGCCCTATGAAATCCCTTTTATTCTTTCTAAATTGAGTTTGTTTTGTTTCCATTTTAATTTTCCTAAATTTAATTAATTTATTTTTTTCAGTTATGTTTTTCTGGATTGCATTTTAATGGTTAAATTAGATTTTTGTAATTTAGTAGAAGTTTTATTTATTTATTTATTTTACATCTTTTTTTTTTTGTCAAACAAAGTGGCACAACAGAGGTTTACTGTCAAAATTAAAACATGGTAAAAAATTATGTGATATTCCTGAAAAAATAAAGTTTTAATTATTTTGTTCTTACTCTTCTCATTAATTTAAAAGTACATAATTTCTTCATGTTAGACCAGTTTCTGTGTGTATCTGATGATAGTTTTCTCAAATGAAGAGGCTCTGTGGAGTTCATGTGTGAATCATGTACAGGTGCATCTCAATAAATTAGAATGTCGTGGAAAAGTTCATTTATTTCAGTAATTCAACTCAAATTGTGAAACTCGTGTATTAAATAAATTCAATGCACACAGACTGAAGTAGTTTAAGTCTTTGGTTCTTTTAATTGTGATGATTTGGGCTCACATTTAACAAAA